CCAAAAAAAACACCCGTGACAACGATTGCCCGGGCGAGCGGCTGAGGAATGTGGCCCGCACGTCGGAGGCCCAAGAGCGCTCCAAGAGCGGTCGAAAACCTTGTTAAATTCCTTTTACATCCAAACGCAGACGGGAACGATGATCTTTTCAAGTTCCCTCTCCCGCGGCTGGAGCGAGAACCATCTAAGGTTCCCTGTCCAACCGCGGTTGCAGCGAAAACCTGTTCAAACTCCCGTTTCAACCATACTCATACGGGAACGAACACCGTTTCAAATCCCTTCTCCCGCTGCTAGAACGAAAACCTGTTCAAGCTCCAGCTCCAGGCAAACGCAGGCGGGAGCGCGAACCTTTTCAAGTCCCTCTGCCGCGGTTGAAGCGAACACCTTTGTCAAGTTCCCTCTCCAATCAATGCGCGAGGGAACCATGCCCTATTCAAGTTCCCTCTCCGACGGCTGGATCAAACACCTTGTCAAGTTCCCTCTCCAGTCAAACGGGGGCGAGCTTCTTGGAGTCAGACAATGTCTGCTGGGCTGTCTTAATCTGCAATGTCTGGGATGTGCCCGTTCGAATGAACGGTGCATCTCCCCCGCTGCAGTACTTGTCCCGAGATAAGAGGGAGATGAGACGAGAGTTGCTGGAAAAGGGGATGTGCCCATTCGAGGGATGGCACCCTTCATCTTCATACTCTTCTTCCTCCTCGTGCTCCTCCTCCGCCTCGTCGTCGTCGTCGTCATCATGATAATCATCCTCATGGTCCCCACTATCATCATGATAACTCTCCTAAGTTTGGAGATACGAGGTGTCGCACGTGACGGCCTCCCGTGCCCCCTCGAACAATCGCCAAGCATAATGCTGGGCTGGCACGGACAGTTGAAAACACAACGAACAACGACCCCCAACCGAAAAAGCAACTCCCAAGGGTCGCAAACACAACCAACACACTACCCAATCAGCTAAGCCAACAACAAAAACATACTCAGCACACTTAAAAGACAACCAAACCAACCGAACACCGCCACAAGACAGCCAAGCTCGCCCTTAGACGGCCAAAGGGCCTCCACCAGGGCGGCCCCAGGATGCCCAAGAAGGCCCCCAGATGCTCCAAGAGGGCCCCCAGATGGCCCAGGATGGCCGCCAGACGGCACAAGAGGCCCCCAAGACTGCCCACGAGGGTTTCAAGAGGACGCCCGAGAGGCCCCGGAGAACAGACCTCCTTCACGCTGCGCTGCTGCGCTAGCCCGGTGACGGGGTTTGCCGAAGGCGGTTAAATTTTGAACAATGCAGAATCCGCCGTCCTGTCGGGGTTTCGCGTCGCGCATGCGCGTCGCTTGCGCCCCCGCCCTCGTGGCATCACCCTTGCGCTTCACTTGGACTTCGCGTCATGTCGTCATCGTTGTGGGGGTGGCAACTGCCTGACCCAGGCAAGGGATACAGTCGGGGCCCTGAAGAAGGAACCCTTTTCGTTGGGGAGGGGCTCCGCGTTCCTTAAGTGTTTCATAGCTTGCCTCAGGCTTTCCTTATGTTTCCGATAAGAAATCGAAGGTTAACTTATGGAAAATAGGGGCCTCGTTCCTTATTTAAGGTTCCTTAGGTCAACGCCCCGACGATACGCGAGCAGGGGTCGACCCCCCCCTGGGATATGCCAGCCGGGGGCTGGGATGCGCCCGCCAAGGACCGACCCCCTTCCTGGGATGGCCAGCCTGGTCCCGACCCCATCCTGGGCTGGCCAGCCTTGCTGGTGATGGCCGGCCTTCCTGGGATGGCCGGCTGGGGCCGACCCACTCCAGGGATGGGCTGCCGAGGCCGCTTCCTCTGCTCGTGCCAGTTTGCAGTATTTCCTCGAGGCATTTCTGATTTGTCATGGATCTTTGCCCGACTTTCCTCCTGAACTTGCGACAGAAACGAAGCAGGAGCGATCAAAAAAACTGATACCAGGACGCGTTCTCTCTTGGCCCAGTGATAGGGACCAGTGGCGAACAACTGTGATTCTCATTCTGCTCCGCCTTTTCCTCCTCATCCTCCTCCACCTCCTCCGCTTCGAAATCATCATCCCACTTCCCCATACCCTGCTTTGCATTTACACAGCGACCCCAGCAGCCCCATGGGCAAGGGTCGTTGAAGGGAACTCCTCGTCGGACCCCCGAATGCACAGTAGTGGCACGTGCTTGCCCAGGCCCCGAGTGGGCCCGAAGAGGGCCTTAAGATTGACAAAAAAAAACCCTCGAAGGCCTCCCGACAGTGGCATCCGAAGGGCCCTCTTGTATGCCACTGTTGGGGGACACCTGTGAATCCCTCTTGAGCCCATCCGAAGCTCCCCTGAGCTCATAGAAAAACCCCACCTCCAGAACGCCCCAAGAATTCCAAAAATGCCCAAGAAGCCCCCAGGTGAGCCCCAGATGTGCGCAACGGCCCATGAGGGCCTGACGTCTTGACTGGCTGAGTGGCTGGCGACCCATGCTTTTGATGTGAAAATTTGCTCAAAACCAGTCGAACAAAAAGCACGAATGATTTTAGTTATTTGGTAACACATCTTCAGCGACTTTTGGCTTGTTCCCCGAACACGTGCTGGACACTTGGGGATTCTCACTGGTGTCCTAAAGAACTGGGCCCGGGTGCCGGCCGGGCGGCCGCGGCCGCCGTCGCCACCCCGTTGCTGCCTCGCCGCCGCCCGCCGTCTGGACCTGGGTGCCAGTCTGGCGGCTGTGTCCATCCGATTTGATCATCCAGGAGACCGTTTGAATCGGCGATGACCCGGGCTATCCCGGGGGGGGATGGGGGGGGGGCCGGCCGATAACCTGGCCCGAAGCGCTGTGGGCAGCCCCGCATGTGATCGCGCCCCCCCTCCCGCGGACCTGCACCACCGGCAAGGTGAGGTTATCCTGGGAGGGGGAGGGGGGGGGCAAGCGCGATGACCCGGGTTATCGCCCGACCCTTTTTACCTAACAGCAAAGACTGATAGGTTTCTAATGGTGTCAAAAGAGAGCAACAGATGACTCCACAAGGGGGTCTGGGCGGCATCCGGGGAGCTGCGTCCGAACTCGTGTCCGAACTCATTTTTCGCAAACAGTCACACACTTCGTGCTCTTCGACCTCCCAGAACTCAATTCCCGGGCCACATTCTGAATACCCGGAGCCAACTGAAAGCCACTTCGTGCTCTTCGACTTCCCAGAACTCCATTCCCGGGCCACATTTTGAATGCCCGGACCCAACTGTCGGCCACTTCGTGCTCTTCGACCTCCCAAAACTCCATTCCCGGGCCACATTCTGAATGCCCGGGGCCAACTGTAGGCCACTTCGGGCTCTGAGCTTTCCCAGAACTCCATTCCCGGGCCACATTTTGAATGCCCGGACCCAACTGTAGGCCACTTCGTGCTCTTCGACTTGCCAGAACTCCATTCCCGGGCTACATTTTGAACGCCCGAAGCCAACTGTACGTCACTTCGTGCTCTTCGACTTCCCAGAACGCCATTCCCGGGCCACATTTTGAATGCCCGGAGCCAACTGTTGGCCACTTCGCGCAGCAGGACGAGGAGGACCAGGACGAGCAAGAGGACGAGGAGGAGGAGGAGGAGGAGGACGACGAAGAGGAGGAGCCGGAGAAGGAGGACGAGCAGGAGGAGGAGGAGAAGGAGGAGGAGGAGGACGAGCACGAGGAGGAGAGGGCGGCTGGCTGCCCCGGCCGCCTGCCCCGGCCGGCTGCACGAGGAGGAGGAGGACGAGCAAGACGAGGAGGACGAGGACGAGCAGGGAGGAGGAGGAGGAGGAGGAGGAGGAGCAGGAGGAGGAGAGGAGGAGGAGGAGGAGGAGGAGGAGGAGGAGGAGGAGGAGGGGAGGCCGGCCGGCTGCCCCGGCCGGCTGCTTGCCCCGGCCGGCCGCGCCTGCGCCCGGCCGCGGAGTGCGGTCACGGGAAGGTGACGGGGGCGGGCGGTCAAGGTTGATACCCCCTCCTAGCTCCTTCCACTGCCTCCTCGCAGCAGGGCGGTGCGCGTTTCAGGATTCTCCAACAGACACACAAACATGGGCCTCTCATATGTGCGCGCCGACATAGGGCGCCGCATGTGCCTGGTCCAGCACGCGCGGTGCCCCCGGGGAGGGGTTGCGGTTTTGCCAGATTGTGAGGACGCTTTTGAGCGGAACGCCCCTCCACATCCTTCCTGATCCCTCTCTCATTTCAACCCACGCTCCCTCAGGTGCACATTGCCGGCGCCAGCGCGAAAATAAGAGGCACCTGGGGGGGCGCCCCGTTCCGCGAATCCCACTGCAGAGCGGGAATCTCGACCCCCCAATGGGATTCGTGGACACTCACGTCTTACGAGTCCGTGCCCATACTACTCCTACTACTGCAATTTCGAACTCATTCATAGGAGTCTCTGTTTTGAGGCTACTTCCCTCGATACAAGTGTATCGTTTGAGGCTCAATCCGTTGATAGCAGTGTCTCGTTCGGACCTACACCCATTGATAGCAGCGTCTCGTTTAGACCTCAATAAGTTGATACAAACATCTCATTTGGAGATTCACTTCTCGAAAACGATGAGTCGTTCGACAGTCCACCCATTGATAGCAGTGTCTCGTTCGAAGATGTGCTGATTGATCGAAGTGTCTCGTTTGTACTACTCTTGCTAATAGTGTTTGTACTCCTACTTCTCGTTCACTGCACCCACTACAACTACTACTTCACTGTTACTACTACTACCGTCACTGCTCATATTACTGCTACTACTACTGTTGCTGTTACTGCTGCTGCTGCTGCTGTTGCTGCTGCTACTGTAGGTATTGCTACTGCAACTACTGGCAATGCCATTGCGACTACGACTGGGACTGATGTTGCCACTGCGACTGCCACTGCGAATCCGAATGCGACTGCGAGAACAAAACAAATTCTACACCAGCACTCCTACATGAATACCATAGGCAATGCTTCCAGCTATGCTTTTACACATCGCTGTTAGGTTGCTTTGCCGGGATAATTTTATCTTTATTTTTTTAAAATAAAAAAATCTCCGCGCCCGCCCCTGGGCCACCCACTCCCCTCTGCCTCCGCGGAGGGCGGGGGGGTGCGGCCTCCCAAGGGGGCTTCCCCGTCGTGCGGCCCCCGGCCGCGCGCCCAGAGCGCCCTGCCGCCACCGGTGCGCGCCGCCAGGGCAGGGGAGGCGGGCGAGGTCGGGGAGAGCGAAACTGACCAGTGGCATCCGTCGGGGATGGACAGAAGCCCCCTTTAGCAAAAAGAACGTGGTGCATCAGTGAAAGACAACCTCGCGCCCAAACCTGGCGGGCGCAGGCCCGGAAGACGGCGGCCGCGGCGCCCTCTCGAGGACCGAACACGGACAGTTCACGAATCGACGTGTCAGGGTGGGGGCTCTGTCCACCCCCGAATCCAGTGCCCCTCGGAATGGGTGTTGGATCGGCCCTTGGTGGGTGCTGGGCCTGGCCCAGGCCCGAACGGGGCCCGCGGAGGCCTGGTGGTGCCGTGCACGGGCCCACGCGGCCCCGAGAGGGCCCCGAGGGAGCCATCGGTTTCTCTCTCCCGAGAGGCGGCGGTGTGGCGCGCGCCGTCACCTGTGCACGACAATTGTGTACAGTGGTGCTCGTCTCAGGTGGAGGGCGGCGCTGAAAATCGTGTAAACGGTGGAGCCCATGTCCTCGGAGGCACCTGAACGCTGGCTCGCCAGGGGGGGCAGGGGGGGGCGGCGGCTGGAGAGGACGTGCTGCAGCAGCTTCAATGGGTGGGGAGATTCCGATGAGAGGTCAAGCAGGAAGGGTGGTCAGAAAGACTCGGCGAGAGATCGAGCTCGGGATCGTAAAGAAATTGTGGGAACACGTCTGGATCACTCCCGCTTCCCTAACCAGCTCTGCCATGGCGATAGAAGCATCAGTGGGCCTGCGGGGATTCATCTGTCCTCAGTGCACTTGGACGAGAGCAACGAACGCATCGACGTACAAGTGTTGGGGGCAATTCAGCAACACTCACGCCGAATACATTGTTTGAAGTGCCCCCCCTCCCCCCTGAATGCAACCGTTGGCTCTGCATATTACGAGTTCGGGTGCCTGAGAGGTCGTACGCAAACGTGGCAACTTCGAATTTTGGGGGAGGGGTGGGGAGGGGTGCTTCATTTGTTTCGTCGGCTGTATCCGCCACCGTGCCGTAGTCACTGAGGCAATGTCGCCAGGCCCCTCTGAAGTCCTACGTACTGAATATACTCTAGATGGTTGTTCTTCGGTGGCCCCTTCGCTCTGCCGACGAGGACGAGGGGGCCACGAATGCCCAGAGAGCTGCAAGAGCGCTGGGGCCCCGAACGACTGGGCCAAGGCAGAGATTGGGCAAAGGCAAGGGGCCCCGACCAAGTCACCCAAAGGCGAGTCGGTCGGTTCCCCACCTCCAATCCCCCGCGCCTCGTCTGAAGTCGGGCCCGTCCCCCTACAAGGGGGTTGTCGAGGAAAAATGAGAAATAGTCAGAAAATATTCAGAAATTGTCAAAAATACTAAAAAAACAAAAAAAAAAAAAAAAAAAAAAAAAAAAAAAAAAAAAAAAAAAAACAAAAAAAAACGTCCCTGCTCCATTTTTTAACTATTTTTGAATATTAGTCCTGTAGAGGGACAGGCCCGACTTCAGCCTCGTCCTCTGCCAAGTCGCTCGCGTCCCCCCGACCCCCCTCGCCCTGCCAACCAGGGCGAGGAGGACAGGAGGAGGATGAGATCGAGAGCTCCAGGACGGGGTCGAGAACTCCAGCACGGGACGCGCCCGGTCACGAGGTGGGGACATCCACGACGAGAACGACGGCTCCCGAAAGTGAGGGCGAGAGCTCCAGGGCGACACCGAAAACTCTCGGATGGAGTCGAGAACTCCAGGGCGACACCGAAACTTCGTCATGTGATCGGGGAGGAGGAGGAGGAGGAGGAGGAGGACGAGGAGGAGGAGGACAACGAGGAGGAGGAAGAGGAGGAGGAGGAAGAGGACAAGGAGGAGGACAAGGAGGAGGAGGAGGAGGAGGAGGAGAGGAGGAGGAGGACGAGGTGTCCCTTTTTGTTCGGTCAGTTCCTTCTGTTCGTGGTCGTCCGTGGCTCTCGCGCCTCGCTCGCTTCGGAGCCCTCGTTGGGCCCTCCGCGTCGCGCGCTGCGATGTTAGTTTTGTCAGGGAGATAGGGCATGACGCTGACGCACGTCCGGATAAAATCCTCCACGCCTGTTCCTCCTCCAGTTCCTTCCCCTCTTACACTCAGACCGTTCAGACTGCACCCGCTCCCCCGCGGTGCAATGGAGAGACAACGACGCGAATATCCGGGCCACCGACCCAACCATACGCCGTCGAAAGCTTCTGGGAGGCCTCTGGGAGGTTTCTGCGAGGCCTCTGGGACGATCCAGAGAGATTTACGAACGGTTTCTGAGAGACCTCTGAAGGCCTCTGAGATTTCGACGAGGCCTCTGCAAGCAGATGGAGAGACTGCCTTATAATAGGCTTATCGGGTGCGGCTGAAAGGCATATGAGATGCTTCGAACAGGCCTCTCGACGGCTCCCGAGAGGCTGCCGAAGGGTTCCCGAAGCGTCTCTCAGGGATTCCGCGCTCAGAGGTTCCTTAAGCTGTTGAAAAGGCTTTCGAAACATACAGGTCTCTGAAGAGCGTCCGCGCTGCACTTTATCGGTCTACTCTATGTGTAAATGCTCGGATGGGCTCTTCATCTATGGCAAGCGCAATGTGTTCTCCCACAACACCCACGCCGTCCGCATCCCCCCTGCTTGGTGATTGCAGCAGCTCGACACGCGAGCTCGAGTCTGGGCCTGGCACCCGCTCTGGCGGACACCGTCCCCCGCTGGATGGAAGCCCACGGGTGCTTGGGAAACGAAATGCCCTCTGGGCAGGGGAGGAGGAGGAGGAGGAGGAGGAGGAGGAGGAGGAGGAGAAAGAGGAGTAGGAGGAGGAGGAAGAGGAGGAGGGAGGAGGAGGAGGAAGAGGAGGGGGAGGAGGAGGGGGAGGAGGACGACGACGACAAGCGCAGCTGCCTCGGAAATATCGTTACCTGCGGCAACTGACCTTCGGGCCGTTTGGCCTCATTCGGGCATGGGCAAGGCGCGTGAAGGCTACAGGGCCGCCCCTGTCGGGGCCCTTGCAGGTGCGATGAACCGAACACATGGTGTCACACAGACAGGCGATAAATATATATATATATATATATGCATACATACATACATACATACATACATACATACATACATGCATACATACATACATACATACATGCATACATTACATTACATTGCATTACATTACATTACATTACATTACATTACATTACATTACATTACATTACATTACAATACATTACATTACATTACATTACATTACATTACATTACATTATATTACATTACATTACATTACATTACATTACATTACATTACACTACACTACATTACATTACATTACATTACTTTACATGCATACATACATACATACATACATACATACATATACACACACGTCTATATATATATATAAAGAGAGAGATATAGGGTTAAGTCGGGCCTGTCCCCCTACAGGGGGATTTTCGACGAAAAATGAAGAAGAAAGCAAATCCCAACATAATCTGGGAACTATTTTTGTGAGCATTTTTCCCTAGCTACGCTCTGCCTAGAGGGTTCTTGCTCTCTTTCTTAAAGGGGCCGGGCATTGGAAACCACCCCGGGCGGTTCCCCCGGTATCCGCCCCGCGGTTCCCCCAGTTACGCTCCCGTAAGCTTAGCGTTGCTTATCTTAGCTTAGCTTAGCTTAGCTTAGCCTAGCCTAGCTTAGCTCAGCTTAGTTTTGCTTAGTTTAGCTTAGCTTAGCCTAGCCTAGCCTAGCTTGGCTTAGCTTAGCTTAGCTTAGCTCAGCTTAGATTAGTTTAGCGCAGCATTAGCATAGCAAAGCATAGCATAACATATCATAGCATATCATAGCATATCATATCATAGCATCGCATAGCATAGCGCAGCATAGCATAGCATAGCATAGCACAGCATAGCATAGCAAAGCGCAGCATAGCATAGCGCAGCATAATATAGCATAGCTTTGCATAGCACAGTGCAGCATATCATAGCATCGCATAGCATAGCATAGCATAGCATAACATAGCGCAGCATAGCATATCATAGCATAGCATAGAGAAGCATAGCATAGCATAGCATTGCACAGCATAGTGCCGCATAACATAGCATAGCATAGCACAGCATAGCGCAGCATAGCATGTCATAGCATAGCCTAGCATAGCATAGCGCAGCATAGCATAGCATAGCATAACAAGGCAAAAGCAAAGGCAAGAGCAATAGCAAAGGCAATGCAAACCAAAAGCAAAACCAATGCGAAAGTGTAGATGTAGATTTGGATGTAGGTGTAGGTGTAGATGTGGATGTAGGTGTATATGTAGATGTAGATGTACATGTAGGTGTAGATGTAGGTGTAGATGCAGATGTATATGTGAGTGTAGTTGTAGATGTAGATGTAGATGCAGGTGCATGTGTACACGTAGATGTAGCTGTAGGTGTAGATGTGGATGTAGGTCTAGATGTAGATGTAGGTATGAAGCTGTACTATTACTACTACTGCTACTACTACTACTACTATTACTACTACTACTACTACTACTACTACTGCTGCTGCTACTACCACTACTAATACTACTACTACTACTACTACTACTACTACTACTACTACTACTACTACTACTACTACTACTACTACTACTACTACTACTACTACGACTACTACTACTACTACTACTACTACTACTACTACTACTACTACTACTACTACTACGACTACTACTACTACTACTACTACTACTACTACTACTACTACTACTGCTACTGCTACTGCTACTGCTACTGCTACTGCTACTGCTACTACTACTACTACTACTACTACTACTACTACTACTACTACTACTACTACTACTACTACTACTACTACTACTACTACTACTTACTACTACTACTACTACGACTACGACTACGACTACGACGACTACGACTACTACTACTACTACTACTACTACTACTACTACTACTACTACGACTACGACTACTACTACTACTACTACTACTACTACTACTACTACTACCACCACTACTACTACTACTCCTACTCCTACTCCTACTATTCCTACTACTACTACTCCTACTCCTACTACTACTACTACTACTACTACCACCACTACTACTACTACTACTACTACTACTACTACTACTACTACTACTACTACTACTGCTGCCGCTACTGCTACAACTGCGACGATGAGGAAGACAGGAGGACGGCGTTTACCGTTACTATTAATATTGCTCTCCTCGGGGCTCCAACTCCTAGGTAGGGTCGCTCTGGGGTAATTTGACATTTGGGGGTATTTGGGGGGGCATTGTTAATCCCACCAGCCCTCTGGGCGCAGGTGGTCTAGAACAGATCCTCTTCCACCCCTCCCTGTTCCCCCTTGGGGAGGGGTTTACCCCTCCCCCTACCCCCTCCCCTGGACCTGAACGGAGGGTTCCCCGAGCGGTCGGACGGCTCTTTTGGCCCCAAGATGGCTCCAAGAGCGCGTCAGAGAGCCCAAGATGAGCTCCAAAATGGCTCAAGATAGCGCAAGATCGCTCGAGATGGCTCCTAAAATGGTTCCAAGAGGCCAAAGACGGCCCCAAGACGGCTCCAAGTGGCCAAAGAGCTCCCCAAGGAGGCCCCGAAGAGACCAAAATCGTCCCAAAACCTGAGGACATTCAATGTTTTTTGCTTTCTCCCCGTTTCGCTTCCGATGGCCATCCAAGGCCTCAAGATGGCTCCAAGATGGCCCAAGAGGGCCCCACGAGAGGCCCAAGAGAGCCCCAAGACGGCCCCAAGAGCGCCCAAGAGCGCTCCAAGAGCGCCCCAAGAGGCGATGTTTGGAGCTCCTGAGGGGGGAGGCTAATTAGGGACCCCCCCTTCGTTGATCGATCTCCTCCAAGATGGCCCCAAGAGCGCCCCTACAGCCCCCAAGAGCGCCCCAAGAGCGCCCCAAGAGGCGCCCAGACGGCCCCAAGAGGCGCCCAAGAGGCCTCCAAGAGGCTCCCAAGAGACCCCCACGAAGCCTCAAGAAGATCTCCGAAATGCATTTAAGACGTTTCTGGCTCTTCGGTTCGCCGTCCTCTTCAATTTACCATCCCCCTCTTCCTCCTCTTCCTCCTCCTCCTCCTTCTCCTCCTTCTCCTCCTTCCCCTCCCTCTGTTCCTTCTCGTCCTCCTCGTCCTCTCCCTACTCCACATCCTCCTCCTCATTATCCTCCTCATTATCCTCCTCATTATCCTCCTCCTCCTCCTCCTCCTCCTCCTCCTCCTCCTCCTCCTCCTCCTCTTCCTCCTCCTCCGCCATCCGATGAGGATTCCTTCTCCATCCTCCCCCTCTTGGGGTACGTGACAGCTTCCCCCGACCTTTGTTATTCAGCATGCTCCCCGGCTTCCCTGATCACCTCAACTCCCCTGGGCATCGTTTCTGGATGGGCTGGCGGGGACACGCGAAGCGTCAACAGTTTTTCGTCGAAAATCCCCCTGTAGGGGGACACGCCCGACAAAAATATAGGGAGAGAGAGAGAGAGATGAACTGAGCAGCGGAGCGCGGGCCGGGACCAAAGAGCCCCAGGCGGCCGACAGCAGGAGGAGGAGCAGGAGGAGGAGAAGGAGGACAGATTTTTTTGTTGAGCTCCACGCTCTGTCCGCCACGTTTAGCCAGGCACCCTACGGCGGGGGGAGAGAGCCTGCAAGGAGGAGGAAGGAATCCCCAAGGAATCTTCAGGAATCCTCAGGGACACCTTGGGCATCTTTAGGGAATCCCCAGGAAACCCTCGATAATCCGTATGGATCCTTACGATTTCCGAGGGGTTCCTTACCAAGTCCTTGGGGGGTCGTAAGGATATCTGGGAGATTCGTAAGCGCTCCCCTAGGGAATCTTAGGGAGACCACCTCCTCGTCGCGCGGAGGGGAGCGGACTCCGCGGGGCGCCTCAGCGCACCCAGGGGCTCTGCAGGCCGAACGGCCGCGCGAGCGCCGCGACGAGCTTCGCCGCCTGCCGGCCAGCCTCCGGCTGGGGAGGCGGCGGGACCCTCCTCCGCCATCCTGCTCCACCTTGCTGGAGGCCTGGAAATGGGCACCAACACCAACACAGGGGGTTGCCTCCGCGCGGGGAGGATGATCCTCGATTTCGGTGTTGGTGGTAATATTTCGGTCGCCTTGGAAGCCAGAAAATCACCACCATCACCGAGATCGGGATCTTCTTCCCTCGGTGGAGGCACGCCACCGATATTGGTGTTGGTGTCAACCTCTAGGCCTGCGACCTTGGAGTGGGCTGGGTGGCCGAGGTGACCCAGCATTGGCTCCGGCGAGCAGAAAGGAGGGGGGGGCGAAGTCCGAGGCTCTGGGTTCGGACAAGTCTGTTGCCTTCTCCGGGCCCTGGGGGCCGTCGTCGGGAACAGGACCGTCGAAAACGGATCCGGAATGAAAAACTGCACCGG